AATTCACAATTTTACGGTGAAAATATTGTGAAAAGTGCTGCTACGAGTGTGTATGGTACCTACCATACACACTCGTAGCAGCATCTGTTTTACGTTGATAAGTAGGTATTCATGTTTGTTACAACATCATGTGCTACAGTGATTTATAAATTCTATAACATTCGCAGAATTTTGAGCTAATTTCAAGTGTTTATGAAAGTGGATACAACGGAAAGCTTAGCACAGCTTATCGCTAATGCCAGGAGCATTAACTGTTAACAGCCGTCAACGATGTCAGGATTCCATTAAATCGGAACAAAACATTATCTCAGTTAATTGAAGCTTATCAGTGTTCACTTACCGATTGAGTACGTTAATTTCAGGTTAACATTATAATTAACTTTGTCATTAGGATTTAGGATCTTGTAATTTAACTAGTTGTGCCCGCGACTTCGTACGTGTGATAATAAGTTTCAATAATTTTTCCATTTTCGTAACATTTTTCATTGATGCTCTGCTCTTATTGGTACAACGTTGTAATGGTTCGATAAATTGGCTAAGTATCCAGCACACAAATGTTTTTTCAAAGCGGAGAAGTCTTTTCTGAGATTAGCGCGTTCAATCAAACAAACAATCTTCAGCTTTATAATATTAAAATATAGCTTATTATTAAATGCTAAATGGCCCATACAATTACCTACGTACTTTACGGCGAACTTGATGTCATAAGGCTAATTTGGATTGGGCACTATGTGTAGCGAGTCTCTTACAATACTAATTTTAATACTCAATACGTTTATTGCTTCCTTAATAGTACATTTGGGTGTTACATAGTTATATTTGGAGATCATTAAGGACCCTGTTGGGCGCTGCAAACTAAAAATTTATAAGAGAGGAGGCTTCTTTTCATGAACTAAGTATACTACTATACTGCTACTTCTGCGTGAATTACTACTTCGTACTGACATTTCTAGCGTTCAGATTCAGTAACCGCCCTGAAAGGTGAAGATAACTGGAAACCTAAGGCTACAATTATATTATAGTTGCCAACACTGCTCTTTGTAAACCCACAACACTATCCTTCTCGCGTCTTTATAACGCGATCTTTTACTCAAACGAAAGAAATATTAATAAAACCTGTAGATTGTACAGGGTGTAAAAGAAAACGGAAAAGTATGTAGCATGGAAATTACAGAAATTGGTTTTTATTGTTTTTTGGTGGATAATAAATACCTATAGTATTTAGTGTTATCATTGTAACTTTTTAAGTAAATACAAGACACAACCAAGGCATTAAATTCCCTGATAGCCTCTGTTTCTTCTCTACAAATTCTAAATTTGGGTAGAGAAATTAGTTATAATTCTTTACAAAGGTGACTGAGTTTCTTCCGCCACTTCTTCTCCGCACCAGCCCATAAGTTGTCCCGAAGTGGTGGTAGGGCAAGCTATATTTGGGACGTGTAGTAGGGCCTATGTAGGTACTGAATAAACTATTTGAATTGGAATTTACACTTGTATTAACCATTTTTTTTNGATCTTGTAAAATTTAACTAGCTGTGCCCGCGACTTCGTACGCGTGATAATAAGTTTCAGTAATTTTTCCATTTTCGCAACATTTTTCATTGATGCTCTGCTCTTATTGGTACAACGTTGTAATGGTTCGATAAATTGGCTAAGTATTCAGCACAAAAATATATTTTCAATGCGGAGGAGTATTTTCTGAGATTAGCGCGTTCAACCAAACAAACACAAACAGTCTTCAGCTTTATAATATTAAAATATAGCTTGTTATTAAATGCTAAATGGAACACAATTACCTACCTACGTACTTTATGGCGAACTTGATGTCATAAGGCTAATTTGGATCGGATATTATGTGTAGCGAGTCTCTTACAATACTTTATCATGAACTATACTACTACTATACTGCTACTTCTGCGTGAATTACTACTTCGTACTGACATTTGTAGCGTTCAGATTCAGTAACCGCCCTGGAAAGTGAAGAGAGCTGGAAACCTAAGGCTACAATTATAGTTGCCAACACAGCTCTTTGTAAACCCACAACACTATCCTTCTCGCGTCTTTACAACGCGATCTTTTACTCAAACGAAAGAAATATTAATACAACCTGTATTGTACAGGGTGTAAAAGAAAACGGAAAAGTATGTAGCATGGAAATTACGTTACTCAGTTTTTATTGTTTTTTGGTGGATAATAGATATAGTATTTAGTATTATCATTGTAACTTTTTAAGTAACAAAACACAACTAAGGCATTAAATTCCCTGATAGCCTCTGTTTCTTCTCTACAAATCCTAAATGGTAGAGAAATTACACAAAGGTGACTGAGTTTCTTCCGCCACTTCTTCCCCGCACCAGCCCATAAGTTGTCCCGAAGTGGTGGTAGGGCAAGCTATATTTGGGACGTGTAGTAGGGCCTATGTAGGTACTGAATAAACTATTTGAATCGGAATTTACACTTGTATTAACAATTTTTTTTTCTATGATTCTAGGCATGATCTCATAATTAAGTTATTTTATTAGTACCTAGGTACTTAAACATCATAATATTATTAGTGCAATGTGGTATAATCCAAGAGGTCCCGGGTTCGATTCCCAGTAGGGGCAGATTTTTCTGTTCGGTTTGGTTGGTGGTAGGGCTTGTTCTAAGTCCGCCTGGCTAGCTACCACCATCTTACCTAAGTCTGTCGCCATAACAACAATGTTAACAGCATTGTTGTGTTCCGGCAGTTAGAGGTAAGATAGCCAGTTCCTCCGTGGTTGAGGATTCCGGGTGAAGCTCGCTTGAACCTTTGGCCTGATCTTCACTTACCATCAGGTGAGACACAGGCCAAGAGCTTCCTCGTAGTGGATAAAAAAATGACTGTTAGGTACGTGCTTACTTGTTTTGTGAGCTAAATAAATTACGTTTTACCCTATATGTAGAGACCTTTTAAGCGTGGTCAGTGGGCGTAGAGACACGGGTTCGATCTATTTCTGATCTGAGACCGACTTCAGGTGATTTTTTCAAATCAGGACGAAGGTAAATTAACTTCGGAATCAATGAGAACCTTGAAGTCGCAATGAGGTAGGATTAAATACGGCGTAATTGGTTATTTGGTAGACGTAGAGCAACGTTAATTTAACTATAGGAATTTATAATAGGTACTTATATTACTTTAAAAAAAAATACTAATTTTTTGTTGTTGCACAAATTACTAATAGACCCTTTAACCCCTCGTACTAAGCTTATATGCTTGTGTCACGAGTGGGACCACCACAATGGATGACGAGTCGACCAGTCCAACCCCTTCACCGTTCGTCTTTCATAGATTAGTTAATTCGCAAAATATTAACAGGCAAAATGCAAAGGCATTGAAAGATCTTCTCATCGAAACTAACGCTAATGGCGCCTCGACTGTTGCGTATAAAAGTACTAAGTAAAGGAGTTTGCATTATCGAAGAGAATACGACTTAAAGATTTCATGCATTCTAACGCACTTCAATCGTGTATCAAGAATCCTCACTCTACTGATACACACAACGTATACGTAGAGACAGTAACATTTTTTTTCAAAGCGGCAGTTTTTGACGCGTTATCTTAATATGTACTATCATGTACTGAATACTAAACTTCCACCATTTTATTTCCTAACTTGATTCAGATTAATCTTAATTATTATAGTGCACACAAAGTATTTCGATCTCGTAAGATGGATTATTCTTCTGCTAGTCCATTAGATATCGTTTTAGGCAGGTAGGTATAAAAATTTAAGACAGTCTTCGACCCGCTGTACCTTCTTACATTATACAGTTCAATGCGTCACCGAATAATCTAATTCTTCTGCTAGATATTCATGGTTTAATATAAATGTTAACGCCTCACCAGCCGACTACATATCACCATAAAATCACACAATAGCGCGACGCGGCGGCGGAATACCCTCACGTACTTGAAAGATCCTTTATTCTGTTCATAAATAAGGATCTGAATTAATGACTGTACATGGAAGGCAACAGACGTCAATGTCAAGCAATATTGTGCAAGAAAAAACACACTTTTTAGATCGTTTCATCCACGAAGACGCGCCCCACTAAATTTTGGTCGAGGGAAGCACAGGGTGTAGGGAGTTTGATTCGAGCAATCCGAGCGTCATTATTATAGTGTGCGTGTGCACTCATAGATAATTTAGCGTGTAAAACATTTTAGCGGAAGAATGGTGGGGCGCGTCTTCGTGGATGAAAACGATCTATAGTACCAATTTACGGGGGGATTCTTGAAAATGACGACAGCTTTCAATATAGGGTAAATTTCCAGTCATTGGAGACCTAATGCGGTTGAGTTATTGGACAGATTTTTGTTGAATTAAAAATAGCACTTCTATTTCAAAAACTAAGACACTCCGACAGCAGATGGAGATAGAAGGGCAATATGTTGCAATTTGCATTTGTAGTACTTAATGGTGACAGAGTTTCTTGCGCTGCTTCTTCTCAGCACTGGCCCATTTATTGTCCCGAAGCAGTGGTAGGGTTAATACTGCGACGTGTAAAACTGACTTGCAAAAATGAGTTTTATGAGTAACTAGCTGACCCGGCGAACTTTGTTCCGCCTTAATGGCAATAAATAAGCAGACTTTTTTTTAATTTCGAACGGGATAAAAAAAACCTATGTCCTTCTCCTGGCTCTAAACTACCTCCCTGACAATTTTCAGCTAAATCGGTTCAGCCGTTCTTGAGTTATAAGCGAAGTAACTAACACGACTTTCTTTTATATATATAGATACATACCACTACATACTCATTAAGGACGTTCAAGGGGTGTTTTGTCCAACGAATGGAAGTTTATAAGAATCACACAAGTCGCTCACATCGTGAACGTAACTGCGTGTGTATAATATGTATTTACGAGTGTAATATGAGTATCATAATATGTGTTGGGGATATAGTGGAGTAGCCACCTGCAGAAATTAGTTTATTAGGACTGTAGCACTTTGGGGAATGACGCTCGGTGTTGTTACTTAATTAACTTATTGAAGGCATGTTTATGTTGAGGGAAAGACCCTAAAACATTAAATACATTTAGCAATCATTTTGGCATTAAAGTCAGATAAAAATACTCACTATTATATCAATCTTCCTTTGTCTTTGTAGGTGTATAATAAATATTATTTTATGGTACAAATAATTATCAAGGATTCTTGCCTTAAACCCACCCACGCGACTAAGTATAATTTAAATGTCATCTAGTAATATCACAACAGAAATGAACTATTTTACATAAAACAATAGTCTGTCTGCCTTTGCCATTGAAGCGAGTCTATTAATTGCTGTACGCTCCGCGTACCGCTACGTTGTACCTACCTTTGGAAGTAATTGGCTGCATAAAAGAAACAAAAGATATATTAAAACCATCGATATAATTGTGAAAAGTATTGAAAATGTAGAAGATAATCTGTAAGCAAAGTTTGAGTCAATCCAGTCCCGATATTCTGACACCCTAGTAAAAAGCGTTGTTTTGTCAAAATTCTTTCCACTCACGATGCCAACCAGTAAATCCTTTCCTGGAACTTCTTCGGGATCCATCGTGTCGTAGCAAGCTAAAGGCCCCCCAGAATCGCCTCTTGCCACATCAGTAATCGCACTATCAGAGCACACAAAAGTATTCATGTTCATTTGCCACAGGGTTGAACATCTCCACCTAGATAACACTCTAATACTTGCTATCAGAAGAACGTCAGATTCCAGGGACCATGTGTCGTGGCCGATCCTACCGTAACCCGCCGATATGCACGTATAAGGGTAATCGGTGGTCTTCTTTGCTGGAATAATGAAGTTTACGGTGTCCGTAAAATTCCACGGCACGTCCACGAAAACGATCGCTATATCGTGTGTTGGGAAGTGAAAGCCTCTGTTCAAGATAGCTTTTGTGATTTTCCGGACTTGCAAGTCGGGAGTTGTGTCTGTCGCGCCGCTGTGTTGGAGATTAGAATTCTGGCTGCCGGCTACGACTCGTAGTTGGTGTGCATTGTAGACATAGTAGAAGCTGTTACCTTCAAAGCAGTGAGCTGCGGTTAAAACTTTTTGTTCCCCAACGATGCTGCCCCCACACATGTTAGTCCAAAATATATCTGTCCCGATTCTGCCACTTGGCTGTTTGATCGAGACCAAGTAAGGCACTCTATCGTTGGTAGCAGGCTCTCCGTTGACCACGACTGGCTTGACGCGGTAAATGGAGTATTTCAAACTGGTAATAACCCGGTTCTCCATATTGCACTTTGTGGTGTGGATGAGAAATATGAGTAAAAGTAGAACATTCATGAATTTCACATAAAATAACCAGAAAAGGAATTTAATTTTGTTTGTGTTTACATTACGCTTTTCTATGAGTTTGAAATAACTAATGTCTTTATACAGATTACATAGAACTTTAAAAGACCGATCTCATTTACCAAAGAGATTTCAATCATTAAATTTAATCTTTGGATTCTACAGTCATAAAGACTGTAGGTTACTGCGGGTACCTACTTGTACAGTGTTTCATTCACATTTAATACAAAAGAATAAAATAACAAAATATGCGAATTAATTGAATTATGTAGCTAATCATCAAACAGAATGTTAATATCACATAAAAACCTCTCCGATATCAAGCAGCTGCAAGCTTTCAATGGGCTCCTTAAATAAATCTAACCCAATTCCTGAAAATCATTTCAAAAATTCCAAATCAAATACCCTTTAATAACGAATTTAGAGACAAATTATATCACCGCAACGAAGGCTCTAACAAATGGGGTTTTCATCAAACGAAATTAAGACAAACGATAGATAAAGAAGCCTGTAATTACATGAGGCGGTCGTTAGATCGACCGACGGACAATTTCTTTATTATTATTTCTAATTTATAGCTAGGGGAGGCGTCATAAGGTAGAGGAAAAAGCGAAGCTCAAGTCAAAATTCGGCTATGGGTGGACTATGGATTATTACTGGCATCTGCCCGCGAGTCCGCCCGATTATGGTATTTAACTGAAAATCAGTAGGATGAGTTAAGTAATTACAATTTTTCTATCCGAATTGGATACTTCGGTTACGGACTCTTCTTTCTTCTTTTAGAGTAGGCGCACACCGTTGATTTTTCGTCGGCCGATAGTTTAGTCGGGCAGTTGATCAGTATGGACATGTATGTATGGGAGTGCGCACACTACGCCGATTCGATTTGGCCGATTCTTCATACAATTTAAAATCGGGCACAACTATCGGCCAACTAAAAATCAACGGTGTACGCCTACTCTTACGAGAACTTATTCTTGGATTCATATAGATTGAATGTTGAGGTTCCGTACATACGTGTAATACACCGGTGCAAGGAAAGGAGAAGAATAATAAACGTTTTATTATTATGAAAATAAAGACCGCTATATTTGTCAAGCGCNACCCGCATACATCAGTAGATTGTAAGTCACAGGAAAAACTATAAAGTACTACAACAAAAACTAAATATTTAATATCACAATACGAAACGTAATCCCCAATTGCACACGCAGCACTCTTGGCATTGGCAATCCACGTCTTGTAAGCTGAAACCCTTGTGAAGAGAGTTGTTTTATCGAAGTTCTTCCCACTGACTACACCGACCAGTAACGGCAGGCCTTTCTTCTCTGCCGGGTCTACAGTCCCTCTACAAGCCAATGGTCCTCCCGAATCCCCTCTTCCCATATCACTCATAAACGAATAAGTGCAAATAAACTTGTCCATATTCATCTCCCACATTTTGGAACAGTTACGACGGGACAATAGGAACATATTGGCTACTAACAATATCGGGGTAATCCGATCCTCACTATGGTTCATACTGCCGAAACCAGCCGAAATGCATTGGTTCGGGTAATCAGCCCTTCGTTTGGCTATCACGACGTGTCCCACGTTTATATTATATTCGAAAGGTTCATTTACAAATACCAAAGCAAGATCATTCTCTGGAAAGAAGAACTTTCTGTGCAGCACAACCTTTTTGATTTTCCGCCATTGTGCGCGCCTGGTTGTGTCAGTGTTGCCAGTATGAATTAACTCTGTCGTAAAGTTACCAGCTACAACTCTTAGATACTCCGGGTGATGGTAATACAAAAAACTCTTTCCTTCGAAGCAATGGGCTGCTGTTAGGACCTTTGTATTTCTGATGATGCTCCCTCCACAAATGTTAGTCCAGATGTATTTCAAATCGGATACCTTTACTAGGATTTCTTTGAGGGACACTAGGAAAGGCACCTGACCAGTCTGAGCTGGTATACCGTTGATTACTGTGGGGTGAACGTAGTTCTTGGAATACTTCAGGGTAGTGATCACTCGGGTGTCGTACTCAGAGTTGGCGAAATCAAGGAATATGAGCAAAAGTAGGAGTGCGACACTCATTTAATTTTACATTGCACGTAAAACTACAAAAAGCGATTACAAATAATAATAAAGTATGTCTTCTTCAAATGACGATGACACTGAAATATATGTCATTTTGAGTGACACATTAACATGTGTTTAGAAATGGTACACAGAAATATTACTCCAAGTTTTAAAATAATAAAAATAAATATTTTTTTGTTTATTTTTTGATGCGCAATACGCGATAAGTTTAGCCACTTTTCTTTGTTAAAACTTTAAGAGTAAATATTAGGCGACTATAACTTTACAAAATAGCTAATTTGTATAGATGAGGCAAAAATTATAACAAGATATGAGTACGGTCAATAAAACGGCATTTTAGCTATAAAATAATCATTTATTCATCATAATATAAACAATAAATCGCTTTATATAAAACATAGTTCGGTATCACATACCGTACAATATTACAATTATATCAAGTGTTCACACACTACGTATTTTTTTATTGTGCGTTATTTTTATTTCTGAAGTGAAATAAAATAAATGTGTCAATCCTAAATCCCTAAAGTAAAAATACCGGCACATCAACCTAAATACTGTGGCATCCTAGGTTATCCTAGGTCTTAACTTAGCTCAGTCAGTGACTGAGGCAGGGTACTCGCCTGCCACGTAGCACGTAACGTAGCATGTAACGTAACCAACCTTCAAGTGAGTACGGCTCGTCCACGGTCATCGCGTATCTAGCTGCGAGCTCCTGGATCCTATTGCGAGCCGCCTTTGTGCTCGCAGTGATACCGCCACTCGCGGGTCGCTGCGATCTCCCTGCGAACCACGCGCGAGCAGCTCGCTGCGGGCTCGTGCCTATACAGGGTGTTAGGTAAATGGATATATGAGCCGACACTAGCCCATGTTAACATGGTCATATAAATGGTATGGTGAAGTCAGAAAATTTATATCTTTATTTTAATTTTCATACAAATCGGATTTTATAAAATTTATTTTGTATGAAAATTAAAAAAAAATGATGATATCAAAGGACAATGACCAAAAGTGGTCCAAATGTCCACCACTGATGAGACCTATATTGGCTTATAGTCCATTAAAGAGAGATTAACTTTCAGTATGCGACGAAAAAAAAATAAGCTGTCTGTAAAAAGTTATGACTATTTAAAAATTGTAGTAGTTTACGCGCTTATCTCAGGAACTACTGGTCTGATTTGAAAAATTATTTTTGTTATGGGTAGCCCATTTATTAAGGATGGTTTTAGAATAAATAACATCACCCTACAACCAATAGGGGCGGAGCAGTAAAGACAAATGTTGTAAAAATGGGTAATATTATTCAAACTATTTTTACGCGTACAAAGTCGTAGGCACAGCTACTATAATATTTAATAAAATTCATCTATAACCCCGCGCCACATGCGACATGTCATAACATGCGTAGATTAGTCCAAAATATGCAATGGATAGAATGATATCAAGAACATTTTTCGGATGAAAAGGTAAAAAACAGACTTTTCATTCAGTGATAACTTTTTACTGACAGCATATTTTTGATTGCGGTTTGGTTATAATTAATCAGTATTTAGTAGACTATTTTACTACATAGGTCTCATTCGTGGTGGACATTTGGACCACACTCCATACATTTTTGGTCATTGTCCTTTCTGACTTCACCATACCATTTATTTGTCCATGTTAACATGGGCTAGTGTCGGCTCATATACCCATTTACCTAACACCCTGTATACTCACTTGATACTTGGTATCTGATACAGTACATGCTACACGGCTAGATGAGTACCTTGCTTGAGGCATGGGAGCGGTACCAGCGGGTTTTTGACGACAAACGTCAGCGAGACTCCAAATAGGCTTCAGATTTGTTTGCTCTGACGTCATTATATGGCAATGTCCCGTGCCGCTCACATAATAATCATAATCATAATATCTTTATTGCTTCATACCTCAGGCACTGACTAAGTTAAGCGCTTAAACTAAGTTAAATGTAACATTTTCGATTTCGCAGCAAAAATTAGATTTTATTTTACATTATCGACGATTATTAGGTGTAAAATCACGTAGTGTGTAAACACTGTCACGTCAACTGATAACATTTGTAAAATCCTCCATTGAAAACAGCTATACGTATCCACTATCAATATCGGTTTATTCTACGGAAGCTAGATACATAATGTAGTAATTATTTCGTAGGTTCTTTAAAATGCAAATAAATATTGAGCAATTGTATATCCAACTCATATTAATAGACTACAGGGCCTCAATTCTACTAAACCAGTAATTTTAGAATTTAGCTTATTTTTAATCTTACTATTTTTATTAGGAAAGTCACGTCTTGGCACACAGCACTGCAACCCATTCCGATTTATTACATTTATTAAGATCTTTTCAATATTTTATTACACTGTTAATAGACAAGTAAAAAAGTTATTGAAAAAATCTCAAGAAAATAATTTTACCTGAAATAGCAGAATTGAAACCCCAGTTTCTAGAAATAAAGGCTATTGAATATTTTCTATATCGATAGTGAAATAAGAACTCTATGTACCTATATTTTTGTTATTTTTTGTTGACAAAAAATAATTATTTTTTCTATAACTATGACTATAACATACCACTTACAATAAAATCTTTCGCGAAAAAATCATTATATCAATTACTTAAAATATAGACTTAAGAAATGCATCTTACCACTATAAATGATATGAAAAGGCTGAAATAATTTAAATGATATGACAGTAAAATTAAAATCATCAGTCACAATACACAGTACAAAATAATACTTCATTACATTATTGTAAATGTCGTTATTAAAAAATAAATCGCATATTATTACAACCAGTGTCAATTTATTATTTTTGTAATTTTTAAAATCTAGAGTTAGGCGTTTCTCTATGTTAGTCAATTCACGTGTAATTCAATAAATGAGGTTAGATTTGATTACTTCGTATCATAAGTACGTTTCTTACACTAAATAGCAATAAGATGATATAAATAGACTATGCAGAAGACAAAAAAGGCATGGAAATATAGGGTACGTTCATGATATACTTTGAGGCTTACGTTCAACCCATTTACTTATAAGTATGTATCAAACTAAAGTTCATAGCAGACTTATCAACTCGGAAAGGAATCAACACCGTATAGTTCCAAAATACTGGACTGTCCTGTCGATGACATTGACAGTGGGGCGCCACCGTCAATACCGGATCACTGGTTTAGATTTTTGCCATGTTGGAAACCATATAGTTGAACGATGGTAGCGCCCCCCTGTCATTGAGTTTGGTGGGACAGTTCAGCGTGGGTCATCTATATCACCTTTCGCGAACTGTCATCGCCTACCGTTACGGTGCGGATAAGTGTGCGTTGCAGTGTATGTATGGAGTTTCATACAAAAAATACTGACCGCCTCGAGTTGATACGGTTACGATCCCTTTCCAGATTGATAACTGTGCAACGACCTTAATACATTATAAGTTTACTAGCTTTCCGCCCGCGGCTTCGCCCGCGTGGAATTTTGTCTGTCACAGAAAAACTTTATCGCGCGCGTCCCTGTTTCAAAAACCGGGATAAAAACTATCCTATGTTCTTTCCCGGGACTCAAACTATCTCTATGCCAAATTTCATCAAAATCGGTTGCGAGGTTTAAGCGGGAAAGCGTAACAGACAGACAGACAGACAGAGTTACTTTCGCATTTATAATATTAGTTGGGATGTCAATAGACGATATTCATGACAAAAGAACTAAGAGTCGCATGAAACGTCGTTTTTAAGATCATTAAAATAAAATCTTTCAACATTTTAAGATTTTTATTGCCTTAAATTGTCTTAAGATCCAAAAATGATGAAACTTTAACTTGATGACGAACAAAGAACGCTAGAGGGGGAAAATTGTGTTTTTTATAAACTTCCATGTTCTTTAATTTACAATTTAATGTCTACCTATTGGTGTTCTGTGGATATTTCTAGTACCCTATTATTTCATGTTTATAAGAACCATATTAAACTCTACATCTAGTCGATATTTTGTATATTTCTAAGCTAGATTGCTTTTATTCAACAGTAACAATTTGTTTTGTCTTTACGAAGCATGATTATCGTATTCTTAAAATTAGTTTACAATATTTTTAAAAGGTCACGTGACAGCCACAGCCATCTTGATATTTTGATCTTTGTATCAATAATTTCATTTTTGAGTATTATTTAAGTACAACTTAAATGTTACCTGTTTATTAAAATAAAGCTTGATTTGCAATTTATTGACATTATAAATATTTCAAACGAATCAAAAAAACAATTACAACGTTCTTTTTTTCTCCAAATCTAAAGTGGAATTTAGTGTGATTTATCAGTTTATTTTTTTACTTACTCTATGAAATATCGATACGAAGATTAATTTTGCTTAAATTATTTACACTATCCTGTATAAAAAATATTAAGACTTGGCAAAATATTGTAAAAAAGTGCTATGTTTACAAAGTGCATACATACATTCTGTTAGTCCTTGAAAATAATTATAAAATAATGTCATGATTGATCAAGCCATAGATAAAGGAATAATTTCTCTTGTCTGTTCTTGTATACCTAAAAAATCGTACTAACTGTACCAGAGACTAGAAATACTGGTTCACTATCTAGACATTTTTAAAGAGAAGATAATAAAACCAATTTATAGGGTCATGCTCAACCAATCACAACAACTTTTGCTATAAATCTACCTTGATCGATGTGAACTGCATACGTTCGTTAGTTCAGTAGGAATGTGAGTAGGTGGCGCTGTAGCTTGTTTATTTGTCCTGTAGCTGTACGTAGTTGGCGGGAAAGAGGCCGTACGCGCCTTTGCAAAGCCCTTGCCACCAACCCTCGTCAATCTGAGAAAGAATAAACAAATCAATTAAGAATGAAAAAGTTTTTTATCCACTCTATCTCATTTCAGCCATAAGACGTCCACTGCTGAACATAGGCCTCCCCTAATGCTTTCCACGTTGATCGATTGGTAGCGGCCTGCGTCCAGCGCTTCCCTGCTACCTTTATGATGTCGTCGGTCGACCTTGTGGGTGGACGCCCCACGCTGCATTTCCAGTACGCGGCCTCCATTCTAGAACCTTGCTGCTCCATCGGCCGTCAGTTCTACAGTACTTATTATTATTCTGTGGTTCTACGTACAATCTCATGTGACACGTAATAAATAATTTGAATGTGGATATTTTTGATACATGGATAAACGAGAAGTAATTTTTCCTTTTATCTTATTTCAGATTCATCAGGATTGAGACAGCTGCTTATTGCCGATCGATATGATCATGGTGACCAGAACAAGTCGAGTGGTAGACTATGCACCTTATGCCATGGACATTGGGAGCACAATCGCATTCACCATGACGATGCATGTAGGACAGCGAGCTCGGCAGAGATGCAGCGGATTATGCACCTTATGACCTGGGAAGTATGCGCAAACTTCCACTCATCATGAAGATTTTGGTGACCACAGCGAGTTGACCAGTCCAAGAGGCAGCGGACCGTGCACCTTATGTCATGGGCACAGGGACCAAACTCACCATGTCGGGACCTACTAGTTAGCAGAGTAAATACAAATGAGTAGGTCATCTTCATAGGAACGCACGGGCGCGGTTTGTATGTGAGCGCACCGACACGTATGCGGCGCGCACGCACACACTGACAAATTTAGCGGTGAGGTGTGCCGAATTTTGTCAGTGTGTGCGTGCGCGCCGCATATGTATACTGGCGCGCTCACATACAAACCGCGCTCGGTGCGTTTCTATGAAGATGACCTACTCATTTGTATTTCTAATGTTAGTGATGACGTCACCGAGGGCACGGGGGCGCGGGGTCTTGCTAGACGAAGTGTGCGCACTCACTGGACGATCTTGCTAACGACGGCCGAGAGTCAACGGATTTTGCACCTTATGTCCTGAGCACTAGGCACAATCTCACTCACCATGACGATGTTAGTGATGACGTCATCAGGGTCGAATGAGATCTCGTCAGGCGCAGCGGCCTGCTATTCGGAGTATGCGCACTCTTTACGACGATATTGGCGAGCCCACCATCGGATTTTGCACCATATTCCTTAGTCACTGGGTATAAACTCTCACTCACCATGACGATGTTGGTGATGACGTCATCAGGGTCGAAGGAGATCTCATCGGGCGCGGCGGCCTGGTAGTCGTACAGGGCGCGCGCCGTGTACCCGTCCTCGTCGTCGCCCTCGCCCTCCGCTTCACCCGATATCCGAGGGTCAACGGATTATGCACCTTATATCCTTAGCACTGAGCGCAAACTTGCAAAATTGCACTCAGTCTGACAGCCGGAGTACGCGCGCTCACCATGACGATGTTAGTCGAGCCCGATAGGATTTTGCACCTTATGCCATAGGCACTAGGACCAAAATAACACAGTAGCACTCACCATGTCGAAGTCTACTAATTGGAGAGTGCGCACTCACTTGACGATGTGGTGATGACGTCATCGGCGTCGAATATGTGCGGCGGCGGCTTGTTAGTTGGAGTGTGCGCACTCAGTATGCGATGTTGGCGAGCCCACCATTGGATTGTGCACCTTATGTCCTTAGCACTGAGCGCAAACTAGCACCCACCAAGAGATCCACTAATTGGAGAGTGCGCACTCACTTGACGATGTTGTGAAGACGTCAGGCGGTCGAAAGAGGTCTCGCCGTGTGCGGCGGACTATTAGACGAAGATTGCGCACTCATTTTGATGATGTTGATTCAAGTCACAACGGAATGTGCACCTTATGCCTTGGACACTAGGCACAATCTCACTCACCATGACAATATTGGCGATGACGTCATCAGGATCAAATGAGATCTCGTCAGGCGCAGCGGCCTGCTATTCGGAGTATGCGCACTCTCTACGACGATTTGGCGAGCCCACCATTGGATAATGCACTTTATACCCTAGCCACTAGGCACGTAATCTCACTCACCATGACAATGTTGGTGATGACGTCATCAGGGTTAAATGAGATCTCGTCAGGCGCAGCGGCCTGCTATTCGGAGAATGCGCACTCACTATAAGGATGACGGCGAGTCCACCAGCGGATTTTGCACCATATCCCTTAGTCATTGGGTACAAACTCGCACTCACCATGACGATGTTGGTGATGACGTCATCCNAGCTTCGGCGCAGTGCCGATCACTGACGTTTGTCAACAAAATGGTGCTTGACTCTTGAGACTAGGGTTTCTGATTTCTCGACCAATTTTTTTTCTCGAGTTTCGAGAATTCTCGAGGCCAAAGTCTCGAGTTTTCTCGGGTCTCGAGTCTTTTAATGAAAACTGCTGAAATCGGTTGAAATTCAATAAAAACACTGGTTTTTTAAACTAATATACCTACTTTTATGCACAACAATCACTTATTTTTGGTAAGGAAATAAACAAAAAATAAAATCTTTCATAATTAATTTTTACTAATTATAATAGCAAAAGTCATAAAGTCGCGTGTTCTTTAAGGATAAATAACAATAAAAATCTGGAGCTACAATTGAATCACTTGTTTTCTAAAGAACACAAGTCCAAATAGCAAAATTACGATAATTTTTTTTTTTTATGAACAAAAAAACTTTTTAATAAATTTTTAAATTTCTTACGACTTGAATAAACTTTACGAGGAGGCACGAGTACCTAACCTAACGTCTGTTACGTAAGGTGACTGTCTAGTTAACATATTTTTCAGTCTTTAAATCAGTCAGATTAAACATACAAATAAATATAGCATACTCGTTGGTGAACATTTTTAGTTAGTTTCGATTGAGATCATTACTTCTTCTTACATCAAATCAGTTAAAAAAAAAAAGACTGGGCCAGTCTAAAAGCAACGTTGACCTATTAAATAATTAAAAACTTACTTTTGTTGAAGACAATAGGCTTTCAAGAATATTAAAACTTCAAAATCGAAACTCGAGAATTCTCGAGCTCCGGTAATTTTTTTCTCGTCTCGAATGAAGCCAAATTTCTCGAGTTTTCTCGAGTTCGAGAAAGCTCGAGCAGAAACCCTACTTGAGACAGGCTAAGTTACACCATATTGTTAATGACATTGAGCATACATTTTTTTAAATACCTTCGCGAAGTAAAACTTCTGTACGTAGTACTTATTATTATTCTGTGGTACTATCTCATGTGACACGTAATAAATAATTTGAATGTGATACATGGATAAACGAGAACTAATTTTGCCTTTAATCTTGTTTCAGATGCATCTGGATTGAGACAGCTGCTTATTGCCGATCGATATGATCATGGTGACCAGAAAAAGCCGAGTGGTAGACTATGCACCTTATGCCCTGGACATTGGGAGCACAATGGCATTCACCATGACGATGCATGTTGGACAGTGAACTCGGCAGAGATGCAGCGGATTATGCACTTTATGTCCTGAGCACTGGGCTCACTCTCGCATTCACTACGACAATGTTGACGACGTCATCGGTGTCGAAGATCTAAATGGGCGTGGCGGCCTGCTAGACGGACGGCCGATAGCATTGTGCACCTTATGCCATGGGCACAAGGACCAAAATAACACAGTAGCGCTCACCATGTCAGTCTATTAATCGGAGAGCGCGCACTCACTTGACGATGTGGTGATGACGTCATCGGGGTCGAATATGTGCGGCGGCGGCTTGTTAGTTGGAGTGTGCGCACTCAGTATGCGACGTTGGCGAGCCCACCATTGGATTGTGCACCTTATGTCCTGGACACTAGGCACAATTTCTCTTACAATGACGATGTTGTGATAACTTCACGAGGTAAAAGGTCTTGCCGTATGCGGTCTGTTAAACGGAGTGTGCGCACTCACTACGACGATATTAGCGAGCCCACCAGCGAATTTTGCACCATATTTCTTGGACAGTAGGCTCAATCTCACTCACCATGACGATGTTAGTGATGACGTCATCAGGGTCGAAGGAGATCTCATCGGGCGCGGCGGTCTGGTAGTCGTACAGCCGAGGGTCAACGGATTATGCACCTTATATCATTAGCACTGAGCGCAAACTAGCACCCACCAAGAGATCCACTAATTGGAGAGTGCGCACTCACTATGACAATGTTGTGATGACGTCAGGCGGTCGAAAGAGGTCTCACCGTGTGCGGCGGACTATTAGACCACAGAATACATAATAGTAGCAACAGAAANTTTGTTTTAAAATTATGATGGCGAATATTTTATAAGTAAGCTTTAATAACCTATGTTTTTAAAAGATACAGTAGTAAGTTTTGTTGATAAACGTTATTTTTTATGAACAATTAAAAATGTGTTTTATGATAGAGGTATCATTTTCATTAAATTATAAATACTAACTGAACTAAATCTCTGCCACTCACATAAAATTTCCCTCCCTTATGGTCACCCTGCAGATTCGACACGCCCTCACTTCGAGATTAATAGGGCTCGATGTTTAGACTTCGGTCGCCATAGCACCGGGGGTGGATTGTCAATCTGCCGTGGGGCGCCTAAATACCACATCTCGGGGGGAAAGTTGATTATCTGGCAACATAGCGTAATGGCGCTGAAAGATGTTGGCGGGAAAGGTCATAGATTAATTGGATTTTTTTAATCTGTTCCGATTTGATGATTGGATTGGGATCTCATCTTTTTATCCCTAGGGATGGATTTAATTTTGATTTGATTTTATTTTCATATCGTTGTTAGTAAAGAGGGGGAGTGAGATCTCATAATGATTCTTTATTATCTTTTTAGTGGTCCTAATTTTCAAGATTCTATAATTTTGCAGACTTTTTTATCCAAACTGGCGCCCTAGCGCCATGATGGCTTGACACTAATTGACAGACCACGTGAAGTTGTTGTCAGTTTTGTTATTGTTTGTCAACCCCAAAAACTTCTAAATTATCAGTAAAATTCTTCTAAATCTCTTCTAAAACTTATCAGCCGGTCAAGACAACAGGATGGCGGAGAATATACTGCAGAAAAGCCATAATTTCAATATCCCAGTGCAGAGAACGGATCTGTCCAGTTTTGATGACGCCTTCTCATCTCTGAAGGAACGGTTTGAGGCCGAAATGCGGAGGGTGGATGAAGAGATGACGAGGTTCAGGTATTCTGAACGCTAGTATAAAATTGGCAATGCATATTGATACAAAAACAAACGATTGGAAACAAAGCGATTTTAGCCATAAGCGTATTTAACGATGATACTGAAAAATTTCTTTTTCTTTCTTCTTTCATAGCCAAAAGCTTAAGAAAATTTAGAATTAGGTTTATCATTCTTAAAGCAAGCGAATAAATGAAGCTCTCCTAACGTCCATAATTATCTTAGTAGTGATACCTAGGTCGAATATATTAGTAATCTGACATTTAAATCTCAAGTTTGAAGCAAAAAAATCATCATAATAATATTAGCATTTATGCTAATCAAATCACATTTACTTTATGGATCTTGATTTAAGATCGAAAAGCAATAAAAAAATCAACCTTTAGACAAATACCGACTTCTTCTTCTTCTTTATTTCCCAGCACCAACCTGATGTACTTTTACGACCAGACCCCGACTGGGCAACTGAACATATCCTCGCAGACAGCGCTGCCCTCCGCTGTCAATCCTGAGATGCTGACCAACTCACCGCTTGTGGAGGGGGAGGGGGATTCCAAGACTTTGAAGCTCCAGTTTGATGTCAGCCAGTTTACTCCCAATGAGGTAAGATGTTTTTTCACAAAGTTAAGTCATAAACTTAAAATTTAGACTCTAAATAATATTTTCATTGCTTCTAAAGTCCTCATGCTTTTACCTAATGTATCTTTGCATCCGTTTATAGCTCGTTAGTACGTCTTAAGTACCTACTAAACTGCTTTTATAAAGAGAAGAATTACAAAAAGCTATAATTACTAATTAAGGCTGAGTTGCACCATCTTACTTTAACTTTGACAAACGTCAAAAATCTGTCAAACTCCGTACAAAAGGCACCGGTTAATGTCATTGTTACGGTTAAAATAAGGTGGTTTAAACGCATCCTAAGTAATGTAAAATCCGTCAAAACTGGCCACTCCTCGAGTTTATGGACGATTTGCTTTCTAACGATAATGCTGCCTAAATGCTGTCATTTCATTTCATCTTTTGCTAGGTAGGTATATTCTCGATTAAGAAAAATACATTTATCTACGATAAGTCATTACGCAGACATTTAAATCTTAGAGGCTAGTTTTGAGCACTCTGTAAAATTTTACACAAAATTCGTTTTGTGTAAACGTAAAAATGTTCACCACCATTTTTAAATTTTGCAGGTGGCAGTCAAAATACTGGATAACGTGCTGATGGTGACAGCGATTCACGAGGAGAAGACAGACAGCAGCACAGTCTACAGGGAGTACCATAGAGAATTCTTCCTCCCTCGGGGCATAGACAAGGAGGCCATAGTGTCATCGCTCTCTCGAGACGGTGTGCTTACCATACAGACTCCTATGCCTCCATTATTGGCTTTAATTGATAGATCAGCGCCGAAAAGTACTGAAGTAAAAAAGTGAAGAGGAGATTAATTTAATAATAGGTAATCAAAGTAGAACAAGATAAACATTGGTACACTAGTTTACATAATCTAAATCTAGAGAAATTGAAAGAAAAGAAAAAGAAAAGTAAACTTAATAAGAATAATCATTTGGATAGCAATGAAAACTAAAATAAGAATGTCACTTTAAAATTACCTACGTCCTACATAATAAAGGATTGAACATAAATAGTGTTTAATTAATAAGATTGTTAATTAGTAGGTATAGCTTTAAAACTCAAGGGTTGATCTTAATTTTTTTAGCAATTTCGTGAGATTTTCTTTCTTCTTAATATTGAAGCTAGCACCTTCAAGAAAATCAACAATTTTTCGAGATTTTTATACAAAATCTTGCAAATCCAATTCCAGAACTCTGAACAGCGAATCAATAAACCAAGCTCTAAATTAACAGTGCAAAGATTCCTTTGTCCAATGCAGTTTGTAGAGCACAGATTCAATATAGACAGTACGTACATTATCTGTGCGACATCGATGACGCGGCCGGGCCAGATAACCGCGACCTGAAACACACACATAGACGAATAAAGTTGGGGGTGCACAGGGAGCTTTTCAGAAATAATTTAGATAAAGTTTTTAGGCTAGAATGGCTAGGCTTTTGTAGCCTAGATGTTAGCTTTTTTATACGAGACTGGGGCACCGGAATTTATTCAAAAATAATGCTTACAACTAAATAAATAACGATTTTAAAATGTGTATTTAAAAAGCTTGCTGAAACGATCATTTATAAGTCCATATGATGAAAACTTAGGCTGTTGTGGCTTTCATTTATAATGTAGACATGAAATTCTCTCGATTTGGTTGGTGGTAGGGTTTCTTCCAGTCCGCTTGGCTAGCTACCTAAGTCTGTCCCTTTATCAATAATGCTAACAGCATTGTTGTATTCCGGTAATAAATTAGAGGTGAGATAGCCAGTTTCTCTGTAGTTCAAGATTCCGGGTGAGGTCTTCCACCAAGTGAAAACGACCATCAGCTGAGAATCAGTGATGCAGGCTTCCTCGTTGTGGATAAAATAACGCCCGTGTTCACAAACTATGCTTGCTTAAGTAAAGCTGCAAATCGAACGCACAGCGTGGAACAGAGCTCTGTGATCGGTTCGTGTGTTACCCTGTGCGTCCACGCGCACTGTGAGACCTCATAATGTTTGTGAATACGGGCGTAAATCTCAGTGAGAAATCCCCGTACACTCCAGCTGTCCGCCCAGTGCATCCCCGTCTAACGCGGTCACCTGTACATTCACACGTAGTGGGCGGGTGTTGATGCGACGCGTTACCATGGCAACCGCCGCGCCCGCTTCCCAGAAGGTCCGATACTTGCTAGCTCTGCAATTTAGCACATTAAAGAAACATGCAGCGTGCGATGGAACGATTTTTATTGCCGAAATGCTAGGCTTTAGGAATTATTGGGCTTTGGTTTGGATATTCAGCATTGTTGCCCGAAGAGAATGATTTGGTGCAGTCTTTGGCACGTTTTGGTCAGGTTGAACCACATCAAACAGAAGTTATAAAATATGGCGTACCTATGTAACGAGAACGTTCTCTGAAGGACTAAACCTCTATCCAAAATATCCATGTGATGTAGTAGATATAGCTACGTTTTGAAATAAAGCAGAATTAATTTTGATGAAATGATAAAGTTAGATAAAAACTATATGCAGGGTGACGGGTGACGGGTATCTAAGTGACGATAATAAGGTTATTATTATCGTCACTTACCGTCAGGTGAAATTGAGATCTAATCCCAACATATAGTTCCTAAAGTCAAATTCCCAGGAATCATCAGATTCGGCCAAAACTTTGGCACATTTTGGCCAAGGCCGAAACTGACCGAAATCAACTTTAGTTCTTCCAAACATAAACTGCAGTTAATTTTAAAAGGCCAGCTTCGTTTTAATTAGTGACCTCACTGAAGAACTTAAAAGTAGTTCAGTTAGCGTATGGCCGTTAAAGCAATTTCTTCATAAATAACCAAATAGCTGGTCGAATGCAGGTGTGCTGTGACCTTGTAGAGATGAACATGAATTTATAAAAAGTCCTTGCATGTCATATTCCAACTCATTAAAGAGAAGGTCATATTGGGACAGACAAACATAAACACGCTTATGCCAGAAAACAGCTAAGAGTAAATTAACTTTCAACAACGACGGTCATCTTTATAACCCTCTTTATCTTATCTACACTATTCTGAAATACTTTGATACTTTCTAAAATCTCGATGAAAAATTAAAAAATGTACTTATTGAAGATTTTGGCGAAAAAAGGTATTATAACCTAGAATAAACGAGTAGAATTAAGAAACGATGGACGCTAGAAGACAAATCAAATAGTACCTAGGTACTTCAGCAAATGAATAGAGTGTGTAATTAGAGTTATCACAGTGCAGAGGCCACCCAGTTACATTAAGAAGGCTTAAAAATAGCTTTACAAATGATTTTAAAACAAATGCTGACTGTCCCTCTATTAATAACGATAATAGTAACACATAATTAATGGAAAAAACTCTGCCTACATATTTACATCCAAAGTCGCGTGAATAACTAATGTCTCCCAGACAAACACGTCATTTCAGCAAACAACATGAAAATAATAATTAAAACCCCGAATGTTTGTGGGTTTGTCACGAGAAGAAGCGGGGTGAATTAATTACTTTTAATTAGACGGAACAAAGGAGTTTGTTGACTTGAGAAACAGGCATAATATTTATTTTCTTTGTTCACTTCCTTAACCTAAATATTATGTTGTTGAATTTATTTTTTACTAACCGCCTGAAATGTATTGTTTAAGCTCAACTACTTTTTTTATTAACGAAGGAAAATTGTAAGAAAATCTGATGTTGTTACAAGTAAGAAAACAAGGCTGTAGGTATGTACTAAGCTCCTGTAAACACACATACCTAGCTGTGTACCTAGTTAGTTCTAGCTTTGAAAAACCATTAGTTTTCAAATACATAACTACGAGTAGTTATACATACCTACTTATATAAAATAACATTTTAAAGCTATGAATTCAATTTACGTCAGTCAAGTTGGTGAATAGGTATGTAATGTTACAAATTCCCTCCGCTATACATAATTTGGGCGAATTTTGATAGTTACCTCATCAAAGTACTACCTTGTTAATTATCAACCTATTTGTTAACAGACAATACAATTTAAACTATACTCAAAAAGAGAGGAAGCTAAAAATAGCATTGGTTTTATAAAATGTCAAAAGTCAAAAAAAGTCAAAATTTTCTTTATTTGNTTATCACCGTTATGTATCCGAAGCGCAGCCGCGGGCAAGCCACGTAATTGTGACAAAACACCACAGAAACAAGACTCGCAGAGCGAGGGCGATAAGCTCGAGGAACTCGGAGCGCAGCGCATGCGAGCGGGCGGGCGAGGCGGAGCGCACGTCCGTACCGTGCGAGCGATGCGAAGCGAATGTCTATACGAAGCGAATGTCTATTCACTGCACCATCTTGGTTTGTCTATATATACTTGGCAGGATCTAAAACTCCGTCACCGCGATGCAGGTTTGTATGAGCGGCGGAGTGTGCCATAGTGAAGTAGTGACAGCGCCATCTGTTGGTCACTAGTTTGTAGTGGCGTCGCCACAGGGCTATTGCAGTGGTTATTATAAATCCAGCTGAATATTTCAAATCCAGGTTTTAACTCCTAAGTAATCCCTTAAAAAAGATCCCAAGATCCAATGAAAATGAATTTACATTTGATGAGTTTTCAGCGATTGCTTTTTCTGATTAATTTGCCCGTTATTTCAGCTCCATCGAGTATTTTCACGGTCAGTTTAAAATATAATCTCTGAAACTCATTAATTTTAATGTCATTGATATTAACCTTACGTGCATTCAAATCGTTTACAGAAGGTACTATACCTACTTACCTACTCGTATACCTTATCACCAACAAAATCAAAATAAAAATCAAAATGTTATAGTATAATCACCAATAATTATCACCATTCACAACCGTAATTCCAATCTACCATAAAGATATTTTATGTGTATGCAATTATCAACCTTTTAGCTTGATAAATATTTGCAACTGAAGCGAATATCGTCTAACAGCGCGTATTTTTTCCGCTCTCGAGTACTTCAATAGCCGTTACAACTCGTCAGGTCGCCATTCATCTAAAGGGCTGTCATGTTTTTCGTTCGCACTTCAAACTGTTCAACCCCGACTTTTGTGATCCACGTTTAATTTTGAAACGCCTGACTTGACTGGTCTGAGAGCTTTTGAGCGTGGTGAAAAGTAAAACGTGAAACTGTAAAAAAGGATTAATGAAACGTGTTGTGCGAGCATTTATTTATACAAGAAAATAAATGAAAACTTTGGCTCTAGGTTTTTTCACATGCGTTAGAACTTTTTTGAATCCATCATGTTTCGCCTCTTATCATGAGTAATAACGTTGTTTTTCTATTATCACGTTGATTTCTGTCAAAATGTTTTTCATGTTATAAATCTTCTCTTAATATGTATACTTAGGCACATACGTGCATTTGTACGCATATGATATCTATCTTACATGCTCACTTATACTGCTTATACCTAACCTGTAAAAGAAATAAGAAAAAAGAAAACGTAATTTTTACCCGACTGCGCCAGAAGGAGGGTTTATTTAACACTTGTCTTTTGAGTCACTTTTATGTAATTCACTTCCAGTTGAAAATATTTTTACAATTTCAACCCCAAGTAGAACAATCTCAAAGAAACAATACTCAATATAAAAAGAAAGCTTCATATACTCGACTGCAGCAACTAAAGATTGAGCAAGAAAAAATAGTTCTATCTTAAGATGACCAAGTTTTAATTTTTCAGTTGAATGGAGCTTTAAGCTCGTCATTATCGGATCTGAAATAAAAATCTCTGTAGTAGCGGCCGGTGAGTTTTATGTTGAAGATTTATTCGCGCGTAATTTTTGCGGAAGCGTTTTCTTTGTCAAGTTTAAAATTCGTGGTCAATATTCAGAAATTGGTTTGTTTTGTGATAGTAAATTGATTGTTTCGTCAATTACATTAAATTCGCCAATGGTCTATCGTTCGTTTCAGACCATTGACGTCCACTGCTGGACAAAGGCCTCCCCCAAGGCTTTCCATAACGATCGGTCCTACGCTGCCCGCATCCAG